TTTCAGTCTACGTTAATTTGTGTTTACCAAAATAAATTATTTTAAAATTAAAATTAACTAAGCGGGAAGTGAAAATGAATTTTGGAGCCTATTTTTCCATATTGGCGCCAATATTTAGGTATAGTAGACTTACAGTAAAGTCTACTTATATGTAGACGTCTATTTCAGTCTACATTAATTGGTGTTTATCAAAAAATATATTTTAAAATTATAATTAACTAATTTGAAAAAAAATATTTGAAAATTAAATCTATTTATTTATGAATTAAAATCTGAATTAAAATTTTATCAACAAAATTTTTATACTAAGTCTACTAAATATATAATGAAAAGAAAATTTTAGATTATATATTATAAACTATTTAAACAATAATGAAAAATATTATAGTAGACTTCCAAAGAAGTCTACTTAACCTAAAGTTTTAACCAAAATAATTTTACTAAACCAAAATTAAACCAAAGAGTTTTAACCTAACCAGAAAAATGACTTGACATATAAATACTCTTTCTTATTAAAAAAAAAAAGGGCTGACAAAAAAAAAACAAGCTGCCTCTCTTTCTCTCGTTTCCTCTCATCCATTCTTCTCCTATGTTCCCCGGCGAAAGCTTCAAATCCAGCCAAAGAACGGCGGAGCATGTTCTCTTTCACATCTCTTTGTTTTCCGTGAGTCTTGGGTACGTTTCTTTTTTCTTAAACACGACAGAGAGATGAGTCTCTTCACCATTGACTTTATCTCTGTGTGTATTCCGATTTGGTCTTCCGGCTAATGCTTTCAGTTTCAAGTCTGAGTAAGGGTTTTTTGTCTATCTCATCAGATAACTATGATACAAGGGTTTGATAACGATGAAAATTGGGAACTTCTGGATATAAAGAAGTGAGGTAAACTTCGATTGTTGCCTTTTTTGCTGTCAAATTTTAAGAGTATATTCTGATGTAATAACATTTTTGTAACAGGGAGTGTTTTGAAGCAATTTTCAAGAAACTAGAACCTACACAAAATGACATTGAAATCGAGAAGTTGGAGGACATGCTCAAAGAAGGCTTGGAAATAAAATCGGGTGAGCCAGAAAATGCACCTGCAGGACAGACTAAGAATCTCGAGGAGGACACTAACATGAATAAGAAGGAGAAGAGTACAGTGAGTGAAGACAAATATGAGCCATATGTTTGCAGTATCTGCGATGTAACTTGTCCACATCCTTTAGTGTTCGAGTCTCATCATAAGGGACGGAAGCATGCTGCTAAGTTGAAGAAGCACATAGATGTAACATGATAGAGATTTAGAGTTTGAAAATTTATGGTTTTCATTAGAAGATTGTTGATGATACATTGTTATTGAAACAGGCTCTACTGAATAATCATCAAATACCAGAGGAAATCATTCAAGACATGACAAAGGAGCTCCGAATCAAGACTGGAGAGGCACATGATGGGCAAAAAGCATGACAAACCAGCCGTCTTCGAGGCTCATCTGATGGGCAAAAAGCACGCTAAAGGGGTAAAGAAACACGCAGAGGTAAAAAGCTGAGGCGTTTTGGTTTAGAACTTTGATGAGTAAGAGACTCGAACCATGAAGACTAATATATGTTAAACTCTGAGTACAGGTTCTGTTTGATGATAAAAAGATTCTGGAACAAAGTCTTGACCAAGAGACACGGTGGAAGAGGTTGAGTTTGAGCCTAAGGATGCACAAGTGAGTATCAAAGAAGTTACTCTAATCAGTAAAGCACGAGAAGATAATAATGAGAATGAGCAGCTTCCAAGTGTTGAGTTTCCAGAAGATAAGGAAACAAGGTGATGTACTGACTTGGTCGTATTTTTATGATCTTACTTGTTTCTGATAACATTTGGCTCTTCTCTTTGTTTAAGCAGCAGAGAGCGGTTTGACTCAATAGTCAAAAGAGCAGAACTTTTCATGGAGAAAACGTTGGTTGAGTTTGGACCAAAGAATGGGCCTTGAGCTTAACACTATGTAAACAAGGATTCTTGTTCTTGCTTGGATTCTTTCTCGAAGCATATAGCTGGTGGTATGTTCTGAATCCGTTTTCCTTTCCTTTTTCTTCTCAAAACTAAATACTTCAATCTGCTTTTAATTTGATGTTTAAATTAATTGAACTTGGAATTTTATTGTGTAGTTATGGCTGATACTGAAGCTGGAGGTATTCTTTCTTAATTTTTAGAAGAGCTCCTTAGTCTACTTCGCAACCTCCTCTCCGAGCAGAGGGTATTGTATTCTGCTAAATCCTCAAAAACAATTGAATCTGAGTTAAGGGTATTATTCAGGTAAGTTTCTCATTTACAGTGTTTCTTTCATCTTCTTACTTTGGTTATATGAGTATTGCCTCAGAGGTAATGAAAAACTAGGCAACATCTGAAGAAACACAAAAAAAAAAAGAGATAAAAACGAAAATGAGTTGTGTTGTATTAAGCGGCTGTGTTTGACGTGTTTCTCTTTCAAGTCTCCATGGTTCTCTTCTGATTATTATTCTTGTGCTCGGCATTTACTCTCGTGTGCTGTTCCTCAAAAGACTTCTTGCCATTTTTTTTGTTATGTATGTTTATCCCTTTTGACAGGCGTGTGACAATATTGCAGGTTATCTCTCAAACACATTGCTACCGTCCAAGCAAAGAAGAACTCGCAAGCCACGTTGGTGTCTCAACGGAGAAGCTTGATAAACTTCTGTACAATACAAGAACACCTCTATCAATGCAACAACCCATTTGGTCTGATCAAGACATCACCTTTCAGGTAACACTTTTAACTTTGTAAATGTGACTTCTGATCAAGAGCATTACATGGTAATAATCCATTTACAGGAAGTGACACCAGACAGTGGGATTGAGACACCGGACATGAGCGTAGGGAAGCAAATGATGAGGAATCATGTAAGGAATCTACTTAATGTGCTGAGTCTTAAGGAGAGGAAGATCATCAAGCTGAGGTTTGGGATTGATGGTGGGAAGCAGAGATCGTTGTCTGAGATAGGAGAGATTTATGGACTGTCTAAGGAGAGGGTAAGGCAGCAAGAGAGCCGAGCATTGTATAGGCTTAAGCAGAACATGAACAGCCATGGACTCAATGCTTATGCTGATTTGCTTGTCTAGCTCATGTGGA